CTAAATACAAAATGCAATACAAAATATAAATCGCAAGACAAATTTTTAGAATTACTAAATGTAAATGATCGAGTCTGTGAGACACATAAAACGGATAACACTGAGCATGGGTATCCAAGTTGTTCACAATCATCTTAAAAATCATTGATCTAAGGAAACATTTAAGAGTACAGTGATATCAAAGTGGTTTACATAACGTACAGTGACAAGTAACATTGTTATTGCATATAAAAATTCATCCATGCACAATGGTTAGGTAGTTTTTGACTGGAATTTATAAATATTTATGTTGAAAGATCAATAATGTCACAAACAGAACCAGAACCATGTATATTTTTAATAGAAGCTGTACTCTCAAAAAATTGTAATGACTAACGTGTTTATGAAATGTAAATGTATGTGATATGCCATAATGCACTAATTTCCATTCATGAAAAAATGTAAATGATGATGAATGCAGCTTATGATACAATGACTTATTGAATGGGCTAAGATGTAATGTAGTGAAATCAAAGACTTGACTGTACACTTCATTAATGCATGTGGCTGGATGGTTTATCAAAATCATTAACCATACTGGCTACAAGACTCTCGTAATCCATTACATTATCAAAGTCTAGATTTTGACATTTGTTCAAGTACTTGCTCAGCTTGAACCATAGAATTCTCTGATGTCATCCAACTTCCACCATCAACTACGATAACAGTTCCAGTGATAAATGAGGATGCGCCACTAGCGAGAAACAGAGCACATTCTCCAATCTCCTCCCTCGTACCCATTCGACCAAGTGGAATATATCGACCTTTTGTGTCAGTTAATGCAAGACCAGCTGAGTGAATGAAAGAAATGAATTCATGTAAGGAACAGATTATATGAGTTATAAACATGATGTATGTTTTATACTATGAGGCACAGCAAGGTATGCAAGGACACAATGACTGCAGGTATATTTACATCAAATGAGGTGGTGGGAGGGGCAATTATAATTTTGGGTAATAAATATCTCACCAAGTTTTCGGATCCCTTCAGTGTTTTCTATTGGTCCTGGAGCAAGGCAGTTGATACGGATTCCCTGACCTCCCCATTCAACTGCCAGACTTCTGGTCATGGCATCTGTTTTATAGAACATACATGCAAGTGATAGCAGACATAAATTAACTGCCACACTTTTGGTAACAGCATTAAAATTAAAATATCTGCACAATCAATACAACTAAATAATAGCAGACAACCAGTAGTAGTCAGACACACTAATAACATACCAGACATAAATGGTTTTTGATATGTATGACTATAATTGGTATAATTTCTGAGGTTACAGCAGCCAATCATTCAGAGATTAATCACCAGTTACAGTAATAACACAACGCATGTTTTCAGCATAAATGTATTTTCTCAATTGCATACTGCGACGGTATAAAAGTGACCAAACTACTTCATACTTCATGGTATAATCTTACATACACATACACACTAGATCCATCATATAACCTTACATATACTAGACCAGCGGTATAATCTTACCTATAGCTGCCTTAGCTGAAGCCGCATGAGTTTGAAATATAGTTCCTTTATACTGCAAGGTTGCACTTATATTTAGGATCACACCACCATGGTCCTTGAAGATAGATACAGTATAGTCATCAGTATAACAACAAGTTTAGGAAAGCCTTAAAAGTGGCACTATCATCTGCACATGTATGCATCCTATTGTCCCGGGTTGATCTTTACCAACATACACACTATACAAAGAAACATTGCTACCGGTAATGGTCATAACTATTATACAAAGTTCCTCGGTAATTGCCTACCAGGTGCGGAGGTTAGGTTTATGTAAATATCTTGCGCCCGCTGTAATAACACACAGACACAATAATATAAAGAGAATCAACCAGCACAAACCATATTGACTGAACAAGAATATAAAATAGCTTACCTTCATATACTTATCATACACAGCTTTAGTGGCATTAAATGTTCCCAATGTATCAATGTCAACGACTGTCTTGAAAGCATTGAAAGATAAACTATTAGCTGGTGCTAGGAAATTACCAGCTGCATCTACATGTATAAAACAAATCAAACTTAGGGACGACGTCAAAAGATCGATGTCGGATAAAAACTCATTTGCTTTAGTTTGAGGATGGGGGGGTTTGACCTCAAACAGTCCATCCTACAAAAACGATGTGCAGAACCCAGAAAAGTAGTTTGCGCATATGTATATTCCCCTTCATTATTTCCTCTTGAACGGTTTGGTGGCTGGGTTTTTTGGGCGTGAGTTGGTAAGATGCCACAATCAATATTTATCAATTAAGTTTCCGTGGGGGGGGGGGACTAAAGGAATTAATTGAACAAGACATATAGTAGCTGCAGTATTTTTTTATGACCATTTCATGATCAAATAAATGAAATCTGGGTTGTTGATAAGGGAAGTAAGAAGTTCAATGCTGCTATCTAGGCATGCTGCACAAATTTGTCTAATGTACAGTATTATCTGCAATGAATATTACTGTAATGTATTAGAAGCTGCATCCCTAATACAAACCTATTGTTTTTGAACAATTGAGATTATAAAATGCTCTAATAAAAGTGGCACCCTCTTTGTTGCATTGTACCATTCGATAGAAGTCTCAGGTTCAATTACAAATTTGTCAGTACTATTCTCCAATTTTTGTTACAAACCTTTTTCTTAGCAAAAACATGTTTATGGAATTTTCATAAACATGTATAACAAATAATGTATAACAATGTATAACAAATTATTTTAGGAATAAAAATTCAATCACAAAGAAAAGACAAGGCCATGGACCTTTAATCAAATTTAGATGTGCCATGACTGATTCTGTGCCTTTAATCCAATTCTGTTGTGCCATAACTGATTCTGGGCACAAAACATGGGCCTTTAATCCAATTTAGTTGTGTCATGACTGATTCTAGCTGCAAAACATAGGCCTTTAATCTAGTTGTGTTGTACAATTCAGATTTCTAATGAATTACAAGATAAAATTTAAAGTTATTGTTAATATCAATTCCGATATGTCTGTTTTTTTCTCACATAACTGCAAAGCTATCATCACATATTGCATATGCTGGCACCACAAATAATTGGTATAAGAATGAAATACTTACTGTTAACCAGAATATCTATTTTACCAAAGTGACTGAGTGCTTGTTCCACCATATGAACTACTTCCTGAGGCTGTGACATAAATTATGAATACAAATAACTAAAAGACCAATATGCAAATAATGACAGCAATATTTCCTGAGATAATGATGATTCTGATTACCATATGAGTTCTATTAGAAGCATACTTGAGACATTAATCCTATTAATTGTAGACTGGACCATTTAAATATTACCAAATATAGCCATTGACACACCCCTGTCATTTACGTAATCTATTTCAATTGAAAATTGCCACCAGCATTGGTTTAAACATTATAGAGGAAATCACAATGTAGTTGTTTCTATGACATCAAGTTGGGGTACCTCCTTTGCTCTTTGCATTTACAGATTAAAGTTTGTTTTCAACAAAATATCAATAATTTGTAGTGTTTTTACTAATTAGCAATGTTTGTAAATGATATAAAAGCATGAATTGGAACCAAATTATTACCTTTCTTACATCCATTACTACTGTCAGACATCTTCTACCAGTAGCATCTTCTAAAATCTTTGCAGCCTGGGAAGAGTCAGCAATATTAAATATTAGAATAACAGAATAGCTTAATAAAGTGTGCTAAATAAACCATTGAATGGGTGATATCTAAAATGGAATGCAACTATGGAATAAGTTTACTGAGGAATGGAAACAATGGAATACGGGTAGTCTATTAGGAATGGAAACAATGGAATACGGGTAGTCTATTAGGAATGGAAACAATGGAATACGGGTAGTCTATTAGGAATGGACACAATGGAATAAGAGTGGTCTATTAGGAATGGACACAATGGAATACGAGTAGTCTATTAGGAATGGGAACAATGGAATAAGAGTGGTCTATTAAAAATCAACACAATGGAATACGAGTAGTCTATTAGGAATGGGAACAATGGAATAAGAGTGGTCTATTAGGAATGGACACAATGGAATAAGAGTGGTCTATTAGGAATGGACACAATGGAATACGAGTAGTCTATTAGGAATGGACACAATGGAATACGAGTAGTCTATTAGGAATGGACACAATGGAATAAGAGTGGTCTATTAGTAATGAACACAATGGAATACGAGTAGTCTATTAGGAATGGGAACAATGGAATAAGAGTGGTCTATTAAAAATCAACACAATGGAATACAAGTAGTCTATTAGGAATGGGAACAATGGAATAAGAGTGGTCTATTAGGAATGGGAACAATGGAATAAGAGTGGTCTATTAGGAATGGGAACAAATGGAATAAGAGTGGTCTATTAGGAATGGAAACAATGGAATACGGGTGGTCCATTAGGAATGGAAACAATGGAATAAGAGTGGTCTATTAGGAATGAACACAATGGAATACGGGTA